TCACACCTATAATCCCAGCACCTTGGGAGGCTGAGGTGGGCAAACTGCTTGAGCCCAGGGGTTCAAGACCAGCCTGGGCAACATGGTGAAACCCTGTCTCTACAAAAACTTTTTTAAAAATCAGCTGGGCATGGTGGCAGGTGCCTGTAAGTCCCAGCTACTCGGGAGGCTGAGGTGGGAGGATCACTTGAACCCAGGAGGTTGAGGCTGCGGTGAGCTGTGATGGAGCCACTGCACTCCAGCTTGGGTGACAGAGCGAGACCCTGTCTCAAAAAAAAAGGGGGACTCTGCTCTTTTAACCACCCCTGGAACCTGACCATATTCTTGCAGCACATCAAGGCTTGTCAGGACAGAAAGATGGAGAAAGACAGTGGGTGAACTGATCACCCAGAGGACAAGCAACTGTACACATGCTGCGTGGAAATATCTGCCCCTTCATTACAAGGATCTTTAGTTCTGTCACATGAACAAAGTCTGTTCTCTGCCCCATACTTACTTGGTCAGAACAATGGAGACTGCATCGTTGAGAATACTTTCTCCAAAGACCAGCATGTTGAGCACTGGGTCCACATGAAGTGCATTGAAAATAGCAATAGTGGCCACTGGATCAACAGCAGATATTAGGGAGCCAAACGCAAAACTGTAAGAGACAGAGGGAAGGGGAGATTCTGTAATGTGTGTCACCCAGTCCACATATTAAAGCATTAAAGTCAAAGGCCATATTTAACAGAAAGCAAAACTACACACTAGAGCTGGAGTAACTATAGAAGGTAGCATATTTTTTCCCACTTATCTGCTGTTGACATTGTGGGTGGAGTGTGAAAGGCCCACTCTAAGTTGAGTTGTTAGGAATGGCCTGGTTTTCTACTGTCAACACAGAGACTTGACTTTGACCAATGACAGAAGAGAGACTTTTGCTTAGATATATTTATTATATACCGCCCAGTTCCACAGGTCAGAGCAGCTGGAGTCAAATGGCCCATGAACTCCTGCATCTGACCTCTGCTCTGCCCCTTGCCACCAGCCCCTTGGAGCGCTGTCTGTGACCAATCTCAGCCTGCACTCAGATTCGCAACATCTAAGAAAGTGTCAAAAACCAGGAGTAACCCCAGTGTGCTTTGGGGGTGAGTGGTGTGGACAGCCGATAGAAACACTGAGGCCATCTCCTAACTGGGCCAGTGACCTCACTGACAGTCCCCGTGAAGAGCTTATCACCCCCAGCAGATATGTGCTGATTGTCTAACATGTTTCAGGCATGGAGGCTACCACGGCCGGCACTGTTCTAAGCACGTCACATACGGTGACTCAACAATCCAGTCAGTGACTGTATGAGAGACTGCTACTACTGCCCCGATGACAGAGGAGAAAATCGAGGGACAACGGGATGATGAAGTAACTTGTTCAAGGTCACTCAGCTAACAAGTGGCAGAGCCAGGCTATCTGCCCAGAGTTGGTACTCCTCCCCCCAATAGTAGATACAGCAATATCCAGAGATGAAGGCAAATTCAGACAACAGCAAGTGTGACCCGGGAAATCAATTGAGGTGAGAAGGTGGGGTGTGGGTGTGGGTGTGCGTGTGGGAGCCACTTAGATGGGGGGGTTCTGGAGAGGCCTCTCTGAAAGTATGACACATGTAAGCAAGAACCTACATGTTAAGCAGCAGTTGGCCAGGCCAAGAGCTGCAGGCAGAGGTGACAGCAAGTGACTTCTGAGGTGAGAGAAAGCCTGCTGCCTGAGGAACAGAAGGAAGGTGTGTGTGGTGGCGGGGGTGGGGCGAGTGGCAGGAGCCATAGGAAGTTGGCAAGGGAGGCAGGACCAGCTCCCTCAAGGGGCCTCGTGGGCCACATGAGCCTGGACAATTCACTCTCTCTGCCCTTTGGTGATTTTCCCACAAGCCTCTGTGCCATGCCTGGTGCAACTTTCTTTCCAGGGCAGCAGAATGGTGGGTCTGCCCCCTTCCACAACACCAGCCAAAACATGGAGCCCCCAAGGGCCAGTCTGTGTCAGTCATTAGCCAGAGACGACTGCCTGAGCACTATACTCCAGCCTCAGTGAAGTGCAGGCCCAGCCCAGGCTCCCAGGTTCCCAGCCTGTGTCAGTCATTAGCCAGAGATGACCCACCCTCACCAAGCCTGGGTCTAGGGGGAAGAGGATGCTCGGCCTGAGCAGCCTTCGATGGGTGATCTTTTGGCTGCAGGGTCAGGGAGAGGAGAGCTGACTGAGGAAATGCCTGGCTGCCTTGCCAGGTACAGATCTCTTCAGAAGTCAATCATTTGGCCTCTGGTTTCCATGGTAGCTGCCTGTGAATGTGATTCATGTGCATTAAACCAGACTGCCTCCGGATCCCAGGCTGAGGATTCAGTTCCCAGACTTTGCCTGTCCTCACAGAGGTCATCACAGGCCTGTGAGCTCCAAGGAAGTGGACGCTGGGTTTTCATCATGGGTGAATTCCCAGGGTCTGTACTGGGTATGGCCCAGAGACACTTGCAGAAGGCAAGCAGGCAGGCAGGCGGGAAGAAGGAAGGGAAGCAGAAAAGGGAAGGTAACTCCACTAAACAACTGCCCATCTGGGAGATCCTATTTTGTTGGTAGCTGGTCCCCAGGCCCGTGCACCACAACCCAGACAAGAGCTTCTGGTTGCTCTTTTATTCCCACTCTCATCAACCACAGCCACATCACCAGAGGCCGTGAAGGAAGGAGGACAATGTCTAAAAAGTGTATCCTGGGCCGGGCACAGTGGCTCACGTCTGTAATCCCAACACTTTGGGAGGCTGAGGTGGGAGGATGGCTTGAGCTCAGGAGTTCAGGACCAGCCTGGGCAATATAGAGAACCCCACCTCCACACACACAAATTAGCTGGAAGTGGTACCACACACCTGTAGTCCGAGCTACTCGGGAGGCTGAGGCAGAAGGATAGCTTGAGCTCAGGAGTTTGAGACTACAGCGAGCTGTGATCATGCCACTATACTCCAGCCTCAGTGACGTGCAGGCCCAGCCCAGGCTCCCAGGTTCCCTGTCCTATGACTCTCCTACCCCTGCAGGATATACTTTTTATTTTATTTTTTTTTAAATTTGTTTATGGGTATTCATTGTACAATGCTTCACCTTTTCTGTATGTTTAAAATGTTTCATAGTGAAAGGTTGGGGCAACGTTCATCTTACGTAAGTCGAATGATGCCTCATGTGTCCCTAAAATGTATAAAACCAAACTGCTCTGACCATCTTGGGTACATGTCATCAGAACCTCCTGAGGCTGTGTCACGGGTGCGTGTCCTCAACCTTGGCAAAATAAACTTTCTAAATTAACTGAAACAACAAAACAAACAAAAGGTTGGGGGAAATGCTTTGTATAAATCACGTTACACATTTAGTTTGCTTGGGAATCTAGATTGAGGCAGAGTATTTCTGACAGTGAAGATGAAAAGTCTGAAATACAAACTGTTCAATCATTGAGAGGTCTGTATGGAAAGAGGATCACTTCACCTGGCTGTCAGCTGTTCCACTTCACTTCTTTAGGACCTCGCCTTTTAAATGCCAGAATTTCAACTTAAAAATGTACTTTCTTTATTCCATAACCCCAAAAGATAGCAACATCAACAAAATGAAAAAGAAATGGACAAAGGCAGTGAAATAATTCAGGATCTCTAAGAGTGAAATCTCTCTCCAGCAAGATATCACCAGAACAAAACGAAACATCTGCAACAAAGTTACTTTTGTGTTTTCTACAGTGCAGAGGTTGCAAAAGATAGTCTGTGGCTCTCATGTTTGATCTGCATGGTGTTTGTGAAAAATTGAGCAAGTTGTCAACATTTGAAAACTGGAAAATTCCCTACAAAAATCTGGAAACCTGGCCTCGTTTTGAAAGAAAAATTATTTAAAATAGCCACCAATTCTGGGCCCAGATTTCCACATGGTAATCATGAGTTGGCACTGCGAAGTGGCTGTCCCTTCATACAGGGTGTGTTCTCCCACTGGCTGCTGCCCCACCGCTAGACTCACAGCTGGCCAGCTTCCCTCTCTTAAGTGCTCTGCCAGGCCCTGCAGCTGTGCGGGTTTGCGACCCCAGAGCAGTCCCCATCCGTGGGACTGTCACTTTCTAACAGCCAAGGAAGCTTCTGCACATGGAGAGGAAAACACTACCTGGCTCTAAGTCAGTGTGTCTACAGGGCAATTATTTTCCTGTCCTTCACCTGAACATTCCAACCACTGATTCAATTCGACTTCACAGGAAGTTATCCAGCATTGTCTGTATCTCTAACCAGCTGTCTCCAAAACAAGTGGAAGATTTGAATACTGTGATACCTTCCTTTACTGGGCATTTCTTTTTATTTGCAAAACACCTACCAAACACAGGACATCAGTTCTGCTTTATTTCCAGCTCCCATGGAATAGGACTACTTGTTTATGTATCAAAACTGTCTTTCAACATAAGCTCCACAATTGTTGTCCTGGGCTGGGGTGGGTGGTGAGTGGAGGTGGAAATAGGACTGGACTTGTTATCAGAGACACAGTTTCCATGAAAAGGGTTCCCAGATTCTAGTCCTAAGTTGCTAAACTGCTGCTAAATCCTGAAAGCTCTGACTGGCTAGATGGCAAGGATCTGGGGACGAACATGTGGCCCTGCTGCCCAGCTCCTCAGCCATGCCGCAAGACCAAACACAGACACACTGAGCAAGGCTGTCTACTCTCAGAAGGGAGAATCCAGACGATGCTCTGCATGGGTGCTTTTTCAGCACTAGATCTGGTACCTTCTGAGAGACACCTGCCTCAACCTAGTGAGGCTGCTTCTCACTATGCAATTCTGGGAATTTCTGGACAGGGATCATGGGACGTGCTCACGGGAGTGGCTTCAGATGGAAGGGCTTTCCACAATATCCACAACAGAGGTCTTGGCCCTGCTTCCCCCACCGCAGGTTTGGTGGCAATCCTAGAGGAAAGTTTCTCTGTCACTCCCCGCTCCATCTCTAAACTATCAAGAAGACAACTTTTTGTTATGGCGACTGAAGTCTTGGAAATAATAAGAAGACAATGGTACAGTGTATGTGTGCACATGGGCAGGGCAGTTAGCTGAACAGAGTTACTCCCTCCCAAGCTTAAACTATATCATTCCAATCAGCAATGCCCGACTAGGGATCTTCAAAAGTCTTTAGTCTAGTTTTGATTCATTTCAGAGATACAAATCAATTCAGAGTAAGATTCTATGGCAGAAATCCTTACCAAAAATAAATATACAGAGAGAGAATAGAACAGTACCACACCCAGGAAGCAATGTGGAGAAAAATTTCCCCTGTCTGAAAAGCAGTCGCATGGGTGTTACAGTATGAAGGATTTACCTGTCTGTCATGTTGAGTTTAGAGATTACATCAGCCTGTAAAATAAAACACACAAACACACAGACACAAAAAAAACCCCTGGAGAACAGCCAAGAAGATTTAAATGTCCATTAGTGCTTTGTTAAAACTAATAAGGACATTAATCTTCAGTTCCCAAACCACTTGAAAAATAAAGAAGGCTCCTAAGCTTTAGTTGAAACATGCATTCCATCAGCATGCAATGAAAGTATGGAAAAGAATGCTACATTCTTCAAGCCCAATTAACTGTAGTTTCCTTAAGTTTATTCTTATTTAATACTAGAAACTGAGCAATGAAGAAAGCTGCATGACAGACAGATTTACTCTGGTGCCATCAAAGCTGCAATATAGGCGAAAATTCGATGGAATGGGCTTTGGCTATCGAGAGAAGAAAGCAGCTGACATGTGTTAAAGAAATCTGCCTGTCACCCAGACACCTGACCCTCAACTTAATTTTCAGAACTGGGACAGGCAAACTTTCTGCAACTGACAATAAAGGAAAAGAATGTGACATGCATGGACATGCACAGTACAAAACTACAGATACTACCTTCCTAGGGATGTTTGGTCTAAATTAATTTGAATTAATTTGAAGTCTAAAGTAGAGACCATCCAACTGATGTCATTGGGAAGTGGTTTAGCAATTGTGGAAAATCCAGAGTATATAATTCTACAGGTAGACAGCTTAGAATTGAGTGAACAGATTCAGAATCACCTTTGATTTTATTATTTCTCCAATGCCAGCAGAAAAGCACATCTCTGATTTTTAAAATGCAAATTTTTATCAGTCTACCTGACAACTGTTTGAAGTCCTTGATGGCATATATTTGGCTTTATTTTTAGATATTCTAATTTAAGACAGTATTGGTTTGCAAATAAAATAAAATACTTTGAGGGGGGGGATTATGGAAAAGATTTACTCAATTCCAGATACCAAAGGTCTTGCAGGACACTTTGAAACAATTTAGCATGCCTCTACTGTGCCTCATATGAAGCTAGGATTTCCTTCCAGAAGGAATTTACCCTAAGGGTGAAACCCAGGCCCCACCAAGTGGCCCCATTTCACCTTCCCACCTCCCTGCACTAGCTCTAAGAATGTAAGATTTTCAAAGTGTTTCAAAGATGATTTTCTTACCTGACCCAGAAAATAAATTCCTCCACCTACTACAAAAGCAGATATTGCCGTCCCAAAAACAGCAAACAGGGTGATGGAACCAATATTTTGAAAGAAGTTACCCTGTTTGAAAGAGCAGAAATCAGGGAAACAATTAGAAAAGCCATTCCTGTCACTGAAGTCATGGCCCGCACACCTGGCCCTCTCGGCTGACTTGACTCTCTGTGAAAGGTACTACTGCCCATCCTGTGTGGCAAGCTGGGAGCCTGGGAGTCTTCCTGCACCCCTGCACCTACTGCAGTGTCCCGTCACTCACATCATCTTTCATCTGGAACACTGCAGAGCTTCACACAAGTCTCCTCAACCCCTCCGGGCCCCTTTCCCTCCACTCTCCAGTCCTTCCAGAATGGTCCTCCCAAAAGACAAATCTGATTGTACTGCCTTCACCTGGACCCCTACTTCCACTTAAAATGCAGCTAGCCCCCACCCTGGATGACTCGACCCCTGGGGAGGCCTCTGGGCTCATCTGGCACCATGCTCGCCTTTGTTCTCTGGGTTCCAGTCCCACTGGTGGCTTCGAGCAGGTTGTGCTCCCTCTTTGCTTGTTAAGCTTTCATCATCCCAAGATCTTGGGACATTTCAACTCTTCCTGATCCCTCAGCCAGCTCCCAGCTCAGATCCTAGTCTATGCTCTCAGTGCACAGTCACCCTCCCTTGTAGCGGTTGACAAGACTGCAATTTTGCACTTATTTATGTAACTGATGTCTGATTTTCCCATGAGGCTGCAGGCTCATTCTGGGCAATGACCACATCTGCTTTTGTACAACACAGTCCCTGACATAATGTCCCTCAGATGGAGGATGCCCAACAGACAGGCACTGACGGAATTAACTGTGTTTCACGTCCAAAGTCCACACAATTAGGATACCAAGATACACTATCAGATATTCCTTTTTCCTGGGCAGGTCTTTTAAACAATTTTACTTCACTCTGTTAGTATCATCATTAACTATGACAGATAAAATGTTTCTATCTATACTTCACACCATTTAAGAGAAAATATTCAAGTCCAAGCAGCATGGTAACATCTTTCAAATTTCCATAAAATTAAGGAAATTAAGCTAGTTATCATAACCCTGTGGACTCCACTTAGGAGTTACCAAGAGGCTTTAATCACTCCCGATGGTGGGTGTGAACAAGATTCTTGTTTTCAGCTCAGAAATCGCCAAACCAGGGACATTAGGACCTGCTATTTTAAAGCCCACTCGTGAAAGAGTGTCCTCAGCTGAACACTGACTGCCCCACTAAGCCTACCTCCTAGAAGCTGCAATTTTGACTTGGCTGCCTATAATTTGACATTCAATTCCTTTATTTGGCATATCAATCTTTACTGCACAAAGAATTTAAAATAACTCAAGGCAAACACAATGATTTGGTTTTTCAAAACAAAGGGCTTTCAATCTATGAGTTTCTCTTTGCAAATCGCTGTTTTCTTTTGTTATTTAAAAACAGATTAGGCTGGGCTCAGTGGCCAACCCTGTAATCCCAGCACTTTGAGAGGCCAAGGCGGGTGGATCACCTAAGGTCAGGAGTTAGAGACCAACCTGACCAACATGGAGAAACCCCATTTCTACTAAAAATACAAAATTAGCCGGTGTGCTGGTGGGCACCTGTAATCCCAGCTACTCGGGAGGCTGAGGGAGAAGAATCGCTTGAACCCGGGAGGCCATGGTTGCAGTGAGCCGAGATCGCACCATTGCACTCCAGCCTGGGTAATGAGCAAAACTCCATCTCAAACAAACAAACAAAAAGATTAATCAGTTTTGACCTGTTTGCAGAGATCTAATGTTGATATAATTTATATACTTGGTTAATATTAATCTGGATCTTGAAATTTACCCAAATTAAAGTTACCACACTACAAGAACTTCCCTCTGCTAGATAAAGCAAATTTACTGTTTCTCTTTGACATAATTAACATCCTATGATTTGTGTAATATTTACAATTCAAAGAACCAGTTGCTGCCTAGCTAATGCATATCAAATGATGATAATCTTACTGAAATCTGCATTCTAAGTCCAAATTTACATTAGCAAATATCACAATATTAAAATAAAATATTCCAACTTTACTTCCTGTCATCTTTGGGGCAGGGTAGAAAGTAGACAGAAGTTTCAGAATTAGCATTTCATAATCCTATAAGTCCCTTTCATATAAATTGTCACATTATCTGCTGGAAAGTCATCTTCAACAAAATGTTTTTCTAAAAAACTATTACTTTCCTCAAATTTTGAATAAGTTTCTCTCCCTTCCCTCTGAAAAAAAAAAAGAAAATAAAAACTTTACATTCTCTAATATTCAAAATGTCATGTTTTTAAGTCAAAATCAAGTCAATTTCCTCAGCATGTTTTGAAATATTTTCATAATCTGCTTACAGTTAAGATTTGTTTACAAAGTGAAAGAAAGACATGGTGACCTTCAACTTATGTTTCCTTGTTAAAAATTATCTGATGTCAGTAACAGTTTCTAAAACTTGGGAATACTTTTTGCATTAAACTTCCTTTTCACTTTTTCTTTGGATAGATGTACAATAAAATAATAACTTTAAAAAAATCTGGGCTGAACATCTAAATATATTTTTGTTTCAGTACAGGAAAATTAGAGACTTAATTTCTACGTTTTTACCAAAAATTTCTAGACAAATCTAACCCATTTTTAAAAAATTGTTTATTTATTTATTTTATACCATGTCAACAACAAATTAAGTTTATTTTTATTTACTTATTTTTGAGACAAAGTCTCCCTCTATCACCCAGGCTGGAGTGCAGTGGCGTGATCTCAGCTCACTGCAAGCTCCACCTCCTGAGTTCAAACGATTCTCATGATTCTCATGCTTCAGCCTCCGGAGTAGCTGGGATTACAGGCACGCACCACCACGACCAACTAGTTTTTGTATTTTTAGTAGAGATGGGGTTTCGCCATGTTGGCCAGACTGGTCTTGAATTCCTGGCCTCAAGTGATCCACCCACCTCGGCCTCTCAAATTGCTGGGATTACAGGCATGAGCCACTGGGCCTGACCTATTAAGTTTAATAAATTATTATTACTACTACTGGAGGTGGTATTGTTATTAATAATAGATAACATTTTTATCATTAATAACAAGCAGCAGCACTCCATTTATTTAGTGTGGTGGGTGGTGCTTTGCCTACATTCTTTCATCTAGTGTGAATCTCAAAGCACCCCGGGAGGTAGGGTTTTGGGGTTTTTGGTTTTTACTTTACCAAAAAGAAACCTGTAGGGGGCAGCGCATGATTAGATCTGTATTGTGTCTCTGGCTTTCCTCTCTCCAAGGGCTGGCCTAAACTTTCCAATCCTCAGGTTTTTTAAAAATCACATTCACAAAATAGCTGTTGTATTATTAATACTAGTATTTTAAGTTGAATCACTTTATTTTAAAACTTAAATACATTTATGTTTAAAGAAAACTCACAGACAAGGAAAATACCACACACAGACACAAACAGGCTTAAAAGTGAGAAGCTCCCGCCCAGGCAGAAAGACTCACACTAGGGGCTGGGCGCGGTGGCTCACGCCTGTAATCCCAGCACTTTGGGAGGCTGAGGTGGGCAGATCACTTGAGGACAGGAGTTTTGAGACCAGCCTGGCCAACGTGGTAAAACCTCGTGTCCACTAAAAACACAAAAATTAGCTGGACATGGTGGCGTGTGCCTGTAATCCCAGCTACTCAGGAGTCTGAGGCAGAAGAATTGATTGAACCCGCGAGGCGGAGGTTGCAGTAAGCCGAGATCATGCCACTGCACTCCAGCCTGGGTGACAGAGCGAGACTCCATTTCAAAAAACAAAAACAAAAACAAAAACAGCACCTCACACTGGGAGTTGCAAGGCAATGGCCATCAAGGCCAAGCCAAAGCAGAGAAGTGGGTAGGGGCCAGTGCCACTGCTCGCCAAGGCAGGGAGGCAAGGATGGGCAGGCAACTGTGGGACTAGGAAGGCTGGACCAGTGAGTGGGCGAGAAGAGATAGAGGTTGAGGGATGAAGGGGAATATCAAGCTGGGGTCTGAGGCCAGGGGAGGACACGGAGAGGGAGACAAGAAAGGATGGATGGGCCTGAGGAGGTTAGAAACGCGCCAGTGGGGGAGCTGAAAGAAACAAAAGCCCTGGGGCACATGTCCCTGTCATCCCAGGACACAGTCTACCCTCTTTACATCTATCAGTCTGTGTCCAGGAAGACGAGTCAATGCATCATCTGTGAGCCACTTAACATCACTTCAGCCATCTTTCTGGGCAAAGCACCCATTTATGGCAAACACTGGCTCAGTGAGCCACACTGCCTGAAACCAATAAAGCAGCCAATTGATCATGTCTGGTCCTCTCCAGAATTCAGGCACTGCAGTCCAGCTTCCACTGAGCACAACCAGGAAGAAGCAGAGCTAACACCCAAGCTTTTAAGGAACTTGCTTTACAAACATGAGAAACTGTCCAGACCAAAGCACCAATGTGGGCCTGAGTCTCACCTTGTGTAATGAATATCCAGACTCAAAGATAATAGGGGGGAGCAGGAGGAGGAAAAACATGTTTGGACGAAACATTTCTTCTTCCTGTAAATAGAAAATGGGAATCTTAAGAGGCATGGAATTTGTGTAATTAAGAAATAAATTCATCAATAAAGAGCCAAAATAATTCTTCTTTCAGGGCCTGGCCTAATGGAAACGTATAATGTTTAAATAACTACCTGATAATAAAATCAAGCAGAATGAGAGATTCCCCCACCAAAAAAAAAAAAAAAAAATGAAACTGCATTTTATTATTTTTATCATTATTATTATTATTTTGAGACAGAGTCTTGCTCTGTTGCCCAGGCTGAAGTGCAGTGGTGCAATCACAGCTCCCTGCAGCCTCAACCTCCTGGACTCCAGTGATCCTCTCACTTCAGCCTCCTGAGTAGCTGGGACTACATGTGCGTGCTACCATGCCAGGCTATTTTTTTTTTTTTTCTTTTTTTTAGATATAGGGTCTGCTGTGTTTCCCAGGCTGGTCTCAAAGTCCTAACCTCAAGCAATCCTCCCACCTCAGCTTCCCAAAATGCTGGGATTACAGGCATGAGCCACCACACCTAGTCAAGACAAGGATTTTAAAGGTGATCGGCGAAAAGAAATAGCACAACAAACTGCTTCCAAACACAGAGTAGTATGTTTTTTATTCCTTAGTACAGAAAGAAAATTAATCTGAATCTAGAAAATTTCAATTCTGGTTGCATACTTTCAAAAACAAGTCTACAAGCCGGAATTCCTCCGGGAAAAAGGTAACGGCAAATCCTAAAACAATCCACTCAGAGGAACAGGAAACCCTACACATGGTTAAAATAGCTCTGCCTTCTTTCTGCTTATCACAGACAACTGTGCTGTTTTCCAAAGTCTGATGTGATGAAACAGTCCCCACTGGATGCTCTTTCGACTTGAGACTTGGCTACAAAGACAGCCCCTTACCATGTGTCTTGCTATAAAAGAACACCTGAGGCTGGGTAATTTACAAAGGAAAAACATTTATTTGGCTCATGATTCTGCCGTCTGGAAAAGTTCAAGACTGGGTATCTGATAAGAACCTTAGGCTGCTTCTACTCATGGGGGAAGAGAAGGGGAGCCAGAGTGTGCAGAGATCCATGGCAAGAGAGGAAGAAAGGCGGGGTGGGGGTGGGACCAGGCTCTTTTTAACAATCAGCTGTATAGGGAATGAACACAGCAAGAACTCATGCACCTCCCTCCCCCAGCAAGGGCATCAGTCTATCCATGAGGGTCCACCCCCATGACCCAAACACTTCCAACACTGGAATCAAATTTCAACATGAGGTTTAGGGAGACAAACGCCCAAACCACTGCACCTTGCTTCCAGATTTGATTATTAAGTGCCATTATGAATGGTGTTTCCAGAATACAGCCAACTTTGGAGGGATGAAACAATAACAATTTCATTTTCTATATTATTAGAATATCTCTCTAGTTGTTGGCAGAATTTGGGGGAAATATATATTGGTCCTCAAGCCCAAAATGGTTATGTGTAATACATAGTCTTTTTTAAAATGCAAAATCAGGCCCTTTTTCATATGAATATTTTCCCATGTCACAATTTTGACAGTCTGATTTCTTGTCAAAATCCCTATTCCAAAGAATGCCTAAATGTATTCTTACAAATGTACAGCTGTTACCACAAAGACTAAAAAAAATTCAAAAAAGACTCAAAATAGAAGCAAATGATGACTTCTGAAATGCCTTATTAAGTCTTAAAATAGCAGCATGTACAACAAGCTTATGATTCAGACTGGGACTATGTGAAAAGAAATGAGCCGAGCTCTGTGTTTTGTGGGGCAACCTATTCTCAGGATCTGTGCAGCAGGACCACTATATACAGCCTTTTGGAGGTACAAAAACTACCCCTCCCACCCTGGGAAAAAGGAGAATCTACCTATAGTGGGGTTACATAGTGTCCCCCAACCCCAACCCCAATTCCTGTCCACTAGGAATCTCAGAATGTGACCTTACTTGGAAATAGGGTCTCTGCAGATCTAACGAAGGTAAGGATCTAGATGACCTTACGCTGGATAAGGGAAGGCCAAAGGCAGCAAACATCAACTTGTAAGAGACAGAACGAGGCACACAGAGACGTGTAGAAGAAGCCCACGTGAGCACAGAGACAAAGACAGGAGCGATGCGGCCACAAGCCAAGGAAAACCTGGGCCACCAGAAGCTGGGAGATGCAATGAAGAATTATTTTCTAGAGTCTTTGGGAGGGAACCCGGTCCTGCTGATACCTTGACTTCTCACTTCTGGCCTGCAGAACTGTGAGACAATGAATCTCTGTTATTTTAAGCCACTTAGTTTGTGGTAATTTGTTACTGCAGCCCTTATGAACACACGGCCTTTCAGGGAAATAGTGTTATAGTTCCTTTTGGCAATGGCTCCCACAAAATGGTCTGAGGTGATTTTAGGTGGCACTTGAGCAGTGTGTGTCAAATACCACTGACCTCACGGATTGAGACAGCCCCTTTTGATTATTTCTTCAGGTCCAAATAAATCCAAGACACCTTAGGATGGCAATACCGCCTCTAAGGGCTCTAACGTGCTGATCTCCCTCCACAGAGAGCAGACTTGACCTTTGATGCTTCAGCAGGCATCTGTACTACTTCATTTTTATCATGTTTACAAAACAATATTAGTTTCTGAATGGAAATAGTACTGTAACATTGCCTTGAAAATAAACATGGCCAGGCGTGGGGGCCCATGCCTGTAATCCCAGAACTTTGGGAGGCCAAGGTGGATGGATCACGAGGTCAGGAGTTCGAGACCAGCCTGGCCAACTTGGTGAAACCTTGTCTCTACTAAAAATACAAAAATTAGCTGGGCGTGGTGACAGGCACCTGTAATCCTACCTACTCAGGAAGCTGAGGCAGGAGAACTGCTTGAACCTGGGAGGCGGAGGTTGCAGTGAGCTGAGACCACGCCATTGCACTCCAGCCTGGGTAACACAGTGAGACTCTGTCCACTCCCCGCCAAGCCCCCGCAAAAAAAAAAAAAAAAAAGAAAACAAAATAAGAAAATAAATATATAGGCCAGGCACGGTGGCTCAATCCTGTAATCCTAAAACTTTGGGAGGCCAAGGTGGGAGGATCACATGAGCTCAGGAGTTCGAGATCAGTCTGAGCAGCATAGTGACATCGTGTCTCTACAAATTTTTTTTTTTTTTTTTTTTGAGATGGAGTCTCACTGTGTCTCCCAGGCTGGAGTGCAGTGGCCGGATCTCAGCTCACTGCAAGCTCCGCCTCCCGGGTTCACGCCATTCTCCGGCCTCAGCCTCCCGAGTAGCTGGGACTACAGGCGCTGCCACCTCGCCCGGCTATTTTTTGTATTTCTTAGTAGAGACGGGGTTTCACTGTGTTAGCCAGGATGGTCTCAATCTCCTGACCTCGTGATCCGCCCATCTCGGCCTCCCAAAGTGCTGGGATTACAGGCTTGAGCCACCGCGCCCGGCCTACAAAATTTTTTTAAAAAAATTAGCCACACGCAGGCACAGTGGCTCACACCTGTGATCCCAGCACTTTGGGAGGAAAACGTGGGTAGATCACTTAAGGTCAGGAGTTTGAGACCAGCCTGGCTAACAAGGTGAGACCCTGTCTCTACTAAAAATACAAAAATTAGCCGGGCACGGTGGCACACGCCCGTTCTCCTGCCTAGCTACTCAGAAGGCTGAGACAGAAGAATCATTTGAACCCGGGAGGCAGAGGTTGCCGTGAGCCGAGATTGCACCACTGCACTCTAGCCTGGACAACTGAACGAGACTCTGTGTCAAAAAAAGAAAGTAATAAACAAATAAATAATATATATATATATTTAAAAAGCAAGTTAATAGAAAAATATTAAGCACATGATAATACAGGTAGAATGCAGACCCAGCAGGTCAGTTTGGAATCAGAACTTCAGGGAAAGAAACTACCAGCTCCTCTTGTTTTTCTGACTTCCGACTGCTCCCTGTACATCTGGTTTCCAGGCAGATATCCTGCTTCTCACTCTGACTCTCCACAAATGCAGGCTCCTAAAGGAAGCCTGCCCCAATTTTTTTTTTTTTTTTTTTTTTTTTTAGACTGAGTCTTGCTCCTTTGCCCAGGCAGGAGGGCAATGGCGCGATCTCAGTTCACTGCCACCTCAAACTTCTGGGCTCAAGCAATCCTCCTGCCTCAGCCTCCCAAGTAGGTGGGACCACTGGTACATGCTGGCATCCCCAAATAGCCTTCTTTTCTGAGGTCAAGCACTGGTTATCTGGATGACACTTCAGGTACTTTATCACATCCATCACCTAACTTGTTTCATGGTCTGTACTGTTAAATACATTCTATTATTTTATCTTGAAAAGTAACATCTGTTGGAAAACAAAAATTCAGTAACAATGATGCATATAAAACTAGAAGTGAAAGATCACCTCCCATTCCCCTACTCCCACTGCTTACAGCAGGGGTCACAAGCAAAGGTTTCTTGGGGCCACACTGCATGACCCGGAAGATAAGCCCCTCTGCTCAGTGTCTCTGAACACTGCTGGACCTAGTGTTAAGAGAGCTTCTGCTTTTCTAAGAGAAGCTAGAAGTTCTGAATTTTATGTAAAATTTCCAGAATTTTATATAGACTGGTAATATTTTAAAATCTAACTTTTTTTTTTTTTTTTGAGATGGAGTCTCACTCTGTCACCCAGGCTGGAGTGCGGTGGCTCAATCTTGGCTCACTGCAACCTCCACCTCCCGGGTTCAAGTGATTCTTGTGCCTCAGCCTCTCAAGTAGCTGGGACTACAGGTATGTGCCACCACGCCCAGCTAATTTTTTGTATTTTTAGTAGAGACAAGGTTTCACTGTGTTGGCCAGGCTGGTCTCAAACTCCTGACCTCAGATGATCCACACGATTTGGCCTCTCAAAGTTCTGGGTTTACAGGCATGAGCCACCACACCTGGCCAAAATCTAACAATTTTTAATTGTTTTACAGTCAATTCAAATTTTGATCATTTATTTTTTATTTTTTATTTTTTGTATTTTTGTAGAGACACAGTTTCACCATGTTGCCCAGGCTGGCCTCAAGCTCCTGGGCTCAGGCGATCCACTCACCTTGGCCTCCCAAAGTGCTGGGATTATAGGCATGAACCACCATGCCCAGTCTTGATCAAATGATTTTTAAATCAGATCAAACAAAATGGGTTAGTGGGCAAAATCTACACATCAGGCTATATCCAGCCTAGGAGTAGAAAAAGGCTCTTCAGTCATGACCCACTCTTAGAGTGGTTAAATGTAACCAAGTCGCAGGAAGGCAGAGATCTCACATGTAATGTGCTCCATTGGGGCCTCCCCAGCAGAGGTGTGTCCTATCACTCTTCGAAGTTCAATACACATTTTGAAAATTTATTTAATATATAAAATATTTCATTACTACTATTTATAACAGCTTCAAATTGTGTTTTATGTTAGGCTATAAGGTTTGTCTTGCTAATTTTATACTCTACAGTTTCACAGGTCAAATAATCCTAGGACCTAGGAGCTTCATCAAAGTAGGAAGGGCTCAAATGTGATCAATTTTAGCCACATAATTCTTTACTATTTTGAAATGAATCTTATTTCCCTCCACAAAATAAATTTTGTAGCATACTTGTTAATCTCACCCTACTCAACATGGATGTTCAAGTTGATATTGAAATTCCAGTTTCAATGAGTACTTGCATCCCAGGATGATGTTCATACTCTAATAACCTCTTTAACACAAGGGTATGTATATTAGCAAACTGAGGACGGGGTGGTATGGTGGAGAAAACACTGCATATTCAGGCCAGAGGGTTTGGACACAAGACTCCACTCAGCCACTTTCTTTCTAGCTCTGTGACACTGAATACATCCCAATCTCCCTGAGTGTCACCTTTTTCATGTGTAAAAATGGGGTGATGATATTACAACACCCAGACAATCCACCTCACATGACCGTCATGAGGATAATATGAGCCACAATACATGAAGTACTGTGTCTCATAGTACCAGACAAGTATGTTTTATTATCCTCAGTTGTCAGAATGGAATTGGGAGCAATACACAGTATTTAATGTTTAATGCTAATTAGAGAATTTTCCTGCCTAATAAAGTAGGTTAGCCTAGGATTACAAAAATGCAAGTATAATAACAACAACAAAAAAATGACATTGGTGCTCCCACGTGCACTTGAAACAGTATGAGACTTATGCTTTTGCAAAAACTCGATGTAAAGGCATCAGCCTGTATCTAATAAAAAAAATTTAAAATTAATGGGGTATATAATATAATAATATAAATAACTCCACTGATAGCCAAGTAATTACCAAAAAAAAGCCAGCATAACCATCAATGTTACTAAAATTAAGAACAACCAAAGGGCAAACCTACCTTCCAATTCGCCAGTTTTTTAAACTCTATAATTTTTATAACTGCTCCCATGAGAATACCTATAAGAGAAAATTTAACATAAATTTAAGATATGAGAAAGATTACTCAAATTTAAGATATGACACAGCCTCAGGAGGTCCTGACACGTGCCCTAGGTGGTCGGGGCACAGCTTCGTTTTACACATTTTAGGGAGATGTGAGACATCTATCACATGTTTCTCGCTCACATCTCAGGCAAACACACTAAAATGAAGCACAAAAGTCAGGCTGTGGGGGAGGAAAAGCATTTTAAATCAAGACCCAAGGATACTCTGACTGGTGAAGATTTATCACCTGTCATTTTTACTATATCCACCCATTTTCAATGTGAAATGGCAGAGTTTATAAGCTAAGTTTGCCATGTACTGTTTATTTCCATCATTTTCAAAAAAGAAACCATGATCACTTTCTCAGACTCAAATAGCAGTTCCATGTTGAATATTTAGTTACAAAAACACAAATGCTGAAAATAACCTAAAGTAAAAGTCCTGTGAAATTCCTGGAAGAAAACAGACCATCTAAGTTCAGGCATGTTTCCATAAAGCTGACAGGCTCATCATTCTCATAAAGCAGCTACCAAAAATAATTCCCAAAGCAGCAGCATGGGCACAATTTATGATTGCCCTGCTACTCCCTAGATAAATGACTCTTAACCCTCTGTTGGTTCACCAGAATCACCACGGGAACTTTTTATAAAATGAAGACGCCCAAGTAGAACTTCAGACCTACTACATCACAATCTTGGGTAGGAGGTGACACAAAGCAAGCCTGCAGACCATTCCACGGATGCTTCAAAATGAAGACCTCCCTCTCCCAGAAAGGAAGGAGCTTTCACCACAAGAAGATGGAAGCACAGCTTACTGGGTGGGTGGGAGATAATACCAAAACACAGAATTTCCGCAGGAAAAGGATGTGCACTAACACTACCTTAGGGTAGGTAGTTTCAGGTGAAGAGGGGAGGTAAGTTCATTTTCACTTTATAAACCTCCATGCTATTTGAATTGATACAAAGTATTAAAAAATAATAAAATTATTTTGAAAAAGAGGAAGGACCCCAGACAAAATAAAGCTGAGCTATAAAAGGAGTCAATGAATACACATTCCTTTGCCAGGGCGCATGGAGCATGGATTCTAACCCATCTCCCGCTACAGTTCCCCAAGAGCTCCCATGTTCTTATTTTTTCAGGTTGTAATTACATTTTAAGGAGCTTTTACACTTTTGTTAGCCAAACAGTACATGGATACTATGTAAAATGTCATAAATAAGACAAAAGTCCCTTTAGATCATACCCCACTTCCACCCCCATCTTCGTTCTCTGTCTTCCTGGCCCAAGGTAACAAACTATCTTGGAAAGGTTGGGAAATACTATATCAGGCCCTTCTCTATCCTCTTACATATATATATATTTAACTGAACAGTAACAGGGTGTGAGAGCGTGTGTGTGTGTGTGTGCGTGTGTGTGTGTGTGTGTAAGTGTATGCATGGCACACCTGAGTGTTTTTATTTATATAAAATTTATGGTAGTATAATATATCATCCTACTACTTGCTATTTTGCTTAGCATTAAGTCTTAGAGATCTAATCAGGGATTATTATGTACAGATTTGCTTCATTCCTTTTAACAGCTGGGCAGCATAGTATAAAAATGTCACAGCACCAACCAGGTGCGGTGGCTCACCCCTGTAATCCCAGCACAGGAGGCCGAAGCGGGTGGATCGCCTGAGGTTAGGAGTTCGAGACCAGCCTGGTCAACATAGTGAAACCCCCGTCTCTACTAAAAACACAAAAAATTAGCTGGGTGTGTTGGTGGGCACCTGTAATCCCAGCTACTAGGGAGGCTGAGGCAGGAGAATCGTTTGAATCCGGGAGGTGAAGGTTGCAGTGAGCCGAGATGGTGCCACTGCGCCCCAGCCTGGGCAACAAGAGTGAAACTCCATCTCAAACAAACAAACAAAAACAACAACAAAAAATGCCACAGAACCAAGCGCAGTGGCACCTGCTTATATCTTAGCTACTCAGGAGGCTGAGGCAGGGGGATTGCTTGAGCCTAGGAGTTCAAGATTGTAGTGCACCATGGTTGCACCTGTAAACAGCCACTGCACTCCAGGCTGTGCAAGACCCCATCCCTGTTAAAAAAAAAAAAAGAAGAAGAAGGAAAGAAAAGAAGCCACAAATTGAATAGATATTTCTGACCAGGCACAGTAGCTCACATGTGTAATTCCAGCACTTTGGGAGGCTGAGGAGAGAGGATTACTTGGACCCAGGAGTTCGAGACTAGCCTAAGCATCACAGGAAAACCCTGCCTCTACAAAAAAATTTAAAAATTAGCTAGGAGCCAGGTGTAGTGGCTCACACCTGTAATCCCAGCACTTTAGGCGGCCAAGACAGGTGGATTACCTGAGGTCAGGAGTTCAAGACCAGCTTGGCCAACATGGTAAAACACTGGTCTCTACTTTTGCAAAAACTCAGATGTAAAGGCATCAACCTGGTCTCTACTAAAAATACAAAAATTAGCTGGGCGAGGTGGCAAGTGCCTGTAATCCCAGCTACCCTGAAGGCTGAGGCAGGAGAGTTGCTTGACCTGGGAGGCGGAGGTTGCAGTGAGCTGAGATTGCACTGTTGCATTCCAGCCTGGGCAACAGAGTGAGACTCCGTCTTAAAAAGGAAAAAAAATTAAAAAATTAAAAAAAAATTAGCTAGGTATGGTTGTTCATGCTTGTTAGTCCCAGCTACGTGGGAGGCTGAAGTGGGTGCACTGCTTAAGCCTCGGAGGTGGAACCTACAGTGAGTCGTGATTGTGCCACTACATTCCAGCCTGGGTAACAGAGTGAGACCTTGTCTTAAAAAAAGAAAAAAAGAAAAAGAAAAAACTTAGCCAGATGTGGTGGTAGGCAACTGTAGTCCTACTCAGGTAGCTGAGACAGGAAGACTGCTTGAGCCCAGGGGGTGGAGGCTGCAGTGAGCTATAATGATACCAACGTACTCCAGCCTGGGTGACAAGAGCAAGACTCTGGCTCTAAAAATTTTTAAAAAAAATTTTAATTAAAAATAAATTGAAGCCAGATGTGGTGGCTCACGCCTGTAATCCCAACACCGCCTCGGGAGGCCGAGGCGGGCGGATCACCTGAGTTAAGGAGTTCGAGACCAGCCCGGCCAACACGGTGAAATACCGTCTTTACTAAAAAAATACAAAAATTAGCTGGGCGTGGTGGCGGGCACCTCTAATCCCAGCTACTCAGGAGGCTGAGGCAGGAGAATCGCTTGAACCCGAGAGGCAGAGATTGCAGTGAGCTAGGATCATGCCACTGCACTCCAGCCTGGTGGACCGAGTGAGACTCCATCTCAAAATATCAAACAAAATAAAATAAAAATAAAAATACACATAAATAAATCGAAGAGATATTTCGGAAAAGAAGATGTACAAATGGCTGAGAAACACATGAAAAGATGTTCAACATCATAAATCATTAGGGAAATGCAAATAAAAACTATAATGAGATACCACTCCATACCCACTAGGATGGTTATGTAAACCAGAGTATCTGAGATAAGTCTCAGTCAAGTTTGGAAGTTTATTTTGCCAACGTGAAGTATGCCCACCCATGATACATGCCGGGCGTGGCGGCAGGTACCTGTAATCCTAGCTACTCAGGAGGCTGAGGCAGGAGAATCGCTTAAACCTGGGAGGCGGAGGTTGCAGTGAGCTGAGATTGTAGCACTGCACTCCAGCCTGGGCCATAGAGCAAGACTCCATCCCCCCCAAAAAGAAAAAGAGGCTGAGGCAGGAGAATCGCTTGAACCCGGGAGGCGGAGGTTGCAGTGAGCTGAGACTGTAGCACTGCACTCCAGCCTGGGCCATAGAGCAAGACTCCATCCCCTCAAAAAGGCTCTTGGTGTGGTAAGCCCTTAAAGCAGTAACTGCAGTGTAAGAGAGAACCTCCTCTTCTTTCTGGCACCAAAAGTTGCAGGATGAACTCTGACCACCTGGTGACCTCAGAATTGGGAGTGGGGTGGAATGGTGTTGGGAGTCAGCCAGAGCTCTCCATCTACAAGGTTCATTTCTTCACTGATGTTGCAGAAATAATTGTAGCCTGCATAACCAGGTCTTGGGAGAAGTGATGGAAGGGCAGTGTTGCCTTCAATATTTCCTTGCTAACTGAGGTCACTGGAAACCCAAGAGCACTTCCAGGGAGAGTGTTGAGGTCCAGAAAGTACTTCTTAAAAATTATATTAGAGGACATTTGGTTAGAATTTGCAAATGCTGACTTAGCTATCAAAGTAATTCTGTATTTCATAAAGCTAAAGAAATTGAAGGAAAACTTTTTTCCTCAGCTGGAGCAAAGTCTAACAAAATATTGAGATATCTACCATTTCAAGAATTTCCAACTTTTGTGCCAAAAAAGAATCTAGATGAAGTTGCCAGAGAAAGTAGGGTTTTCATTCTTTGGGGGATACATTTTCCCCTCCTGCCAGAAGTTGCTTTGTAGCTTGCAGTCATTTCGAGACATTATTGGTCTTTTGCTTTATAGTTAGGTGTTCAGCGTTCCTAAGAAATTGTCAGGATACAAAAGGACCATCTGCACTCCAAAAACACATGTCCCCCACTTCTACTTTACTGTATTTTTAAAGGAGCGTCTGTCTGGCCACTTTTCATTCACTATAAAAATATAGTATCAACCTGAAGTTCTAAAGAGTTCCTTGGCCCTTGTTCAAAGCTTTCAGGATACTTTCTATACTTTATGGAATTCTGTAGTTTGGGCCTTTTAAAAACTAATTTCTTTTGCACAGTTAAACAACGACTATACATAGAAAAAAGAAAAATCCTGTTTATTGACAATTGTTTTTATCTTGTTTCATTCTCTTCCAGTCCATGAGTAGACATGTCCATATGTATTAGATGACTTTATATAGTTTAATTTGAGTTTATATCATTTTTTTGTGTTCTTTCCATGTATTAGTTGAGTTCACCTATTTATTTATTTATCTTTTTTTTCAGACAGAGTCTTGTTCTGTCACCCAGGCTGGAGTGCAATGGCGTGATCTCGGCACACTGCAATCTCCGCCCCCAGATTCAAGCGATTCTCCTGCCTCAGCCTCCCAAGTATCTGGGATTACATGCACATGCCACCATGCGCGGCTAATTTTTGTATTTTTAGTGGAGACAGGGTTTCACTATGTTGGCCAGGCTAGTCTCGAACTCCTAACCTCAAGTGATCTGCCTGCCTCGGCTTCCCAAAGTGCTGGGATTACAGGCATGAGCCACTGTGCCCGGCCCATATTTATTTTTTTACTGGCTGTATAATGCTGATTCATGTATATATTTTAGGCTAAAATTTGGAATGAAAATGAGGCTGGGTTCATTTTCACTGCAGTTACTGCTTTAAGGGCTTACCACACCAAGAGCCTGTCTGAGAGCGGATCAGAGTACCACAGCGAGAGAGCCTGCCTGACAGTGAAGCCGGGGAAAAGGGATTCACTGCTGAGGCATGGAGAAGAACTGAGTCCAGGAGACCTGATTCAGCTGTCTCAAGCTAATACTACCCGTAGTTTTGCCAGTTATCTGAGTCAAGAGGTGTGCGCCCCTACCCTTACCAATTTTTTTGTTTGTTTATTTGTTTTGAGACGGAGTCTTGCTCTGTCACCCAGGCTGGAGTGTCCTGGCGTGACCGGGGCTCAGTGCAACTTCCACCTCCCGGACTCAAGTGGTTCTACTGCTTCAGCCTCCAGGATAGCTGGGATTACAAGCACCTGCCACCATGCCCAGCTAATTTTTCTATTTTTAGTGGAGATGGGGGGTTCACCATGTTGGCCAGGCTGGTCTCAAACTCCTGGCCTCAGGCGATCCGTCCACCTTGGCCTCCCAAAATGCTGGGATTATAGGTGTGAGCCACTGTGCCTGGCCAATTTCTTCTGAATTGGGTTTTGTCCCTTGAATGCAAAGAGTTCTATGTTAAGATGCTTTTAGTTGCAAGTAAAAGAATTTAGACTAAAAATGGCTTAAACAATATGTTTGTTTTGATTTTTTTCTTTATTCTAAGTCAACAACAGCTAATAGATGTTTATTATCTCATATAAAAGGTAGCACTAAGATAGGAAGTTTCAGGGCTATCAATTCAACAAAGCAACAATGCTATCAATAATCTGGGATTCCCATCTGTCCCCCTGGCAATCCTTAGCACTCTGGCTTTTGTGTTTGAGCCACAGTAGTTGCAAGATGGCTACCAGTCCACTAGGCATCACACCCTCATTCAGCAGCATCAAAGAAATGAAGGGGAAATTTCTCATTACTATCGGAGAGGAAAACATTTTCCATCCAGTACCCACTACCTCATCACACTTCACCTTGGTGTCACTTGCCAGAAACGGGTTTTACACTGCCTTGTCACCTCTACCCCTCTCAACCAATAATTGGCAAAGAGTGAAATTAACATGATGGCAAAGACCAATCCTGACTTGGAGAGGCCCATCTTCCTCAAGCACACTGTGGCAAGATACCTGATCAAAATTGGGGTTCTATTTTCAAGGAAGAAGGGGGAAATGACTCTTTGGTAAGCAACCAACAATGTCTGCTCTAAGTCCTAATAGAAGCACTGGTGTTCAGCAAGCTGCAGTTACCCAAACATTCAAGAAACATGAGGAGCTTGAAATTCTAAACCAAATTATAAGAATTATCATTTTAATTTTCATGTGTATAATATCTAAATACACACCAACTATAATTTTCAAAGCAAATTTCCTTAAGAAGCTGTAAAACTGACCACACAACTGTAAATTCCTTGGAGTAGTTCTTAAAGCCTTTACCGAATGCCCCAGAATGATGGGTATTAGTCACAGAGGTTCTTTTCAATATGCCTAATAGCAGAAATGAATGTTCTTTTTTTTTTTTTTTGAGACGGAGTCTCGCTGTGCCGCCCGGGCTGGAGTGCAGTGGCGCGATCTCAGCTCACTGCAAGCTCCGCCTCCCGGGTTCACGCCATTCTCCTGCCTCAGCCTCCAGAGTAGCTGGGACTACAGGCGCCCGCCACTACGCCCGGCTAATTTTTTTTTATTTTTAGTAGAGACGGGGTTTCACTGTGTTACCCAGGGTGGTCTCGATCTCCTGACCTCGTGATCCGCCCGCCTCGGCCTCCCAAAGGGCTGGGATTACAGGCGTGAGCCACCGCACCTGGCCAGAAAGGAATGTTAACGAGCAAGCCTCCTATTCTTGGAGCTCTAGGACTATCTTATTAGCTAAGGCTGTTAGAATCTACCAAGATATATTGCTAAAAAGCATGCTAAAAAGAGAACACGAACTTTTTGAGTAAAACTGGTTTCCAAACCTGTACTGAAGGTCAACACTATCCAGTGGTGCTCATTCCTTAAAATATGGTATCACCTGGAGCTCATAAGGCATAAATGAGATGACAATGTGAAGCCTCACAAGCCAGGATCTGGCACTTCGTACTGAAGTCCAGCGAAAATACAGGAGACTCTGAACCAGGGTAGTAGGACTGCTGGGGTGATGGGAGGATGGGGAGGCTAGCGAACAGAGTTTGAACAATCATTTCCAAAGCTAATCTTAACAATAACTATCCTGTGAAAGAATTACTACTCCGCTAAAGATCTACCAGGCAATCAAAGTTAACTTCTAAACATCAGCGGTGATCAGGAAAAATTAAATACCATCAGTAGGCAAGTGGAAACTAGTAAAAGTGACTATAATATAATAAACTGATAAAAAGCTTTGGATGACCTAAGACTTTATTTACTGTGCCTTACATGTCTCCACCCCATTTCAGCCTTGATCTTACACTTACTGAAATTCCCTGCCTTCTTCCTTCACTAACCACTTCAATGAACTTGTGTGTGCATTCACACCTGTTATTACACGGGTTCATTCACTGCAACTAGATCTCAACAGTTAACTGGCACAGGAAACAAAACAGAAATGTAAGTGGGATAGAGTGGAATGCTCTCTGAAGACTTTAGATCTGACTCTGGCATTAAGTGAGCCATTGAAGGTTCCTCCTAAACCGTAAAGTCAGAGTCCCTTCTGTCTATAAAATTGAGTGATTCTATGAAGTGTCATTACTGAGTTGGATGTCAGCCCAGCCTAGCAGTAGAGGTCAATGTTCCCCAAGGGTAGTTCTACCAGAAGTAAAAGGCTAAGAAAGGGCCTTTGAGCTGTACAGAGCTGTATGGCCTTTAGGCTTCTACATGACCTTTAGGAGGTCACTACCCTTCTTGAACCCCAGTGTCCTCATCTGTAAAATGGGATCATAACACCCTTAGGGCAGGTTGCAGCGAGGATTAAATGAGATCAGGGATGTGATGTATCTCTTGTGGTTCCTGGCACTAAAGAGGCACTCAAAAAATGGTAGTTACTGTTACTGCTTTCATTATGGAATCACCAATACATACTTACCTAAAGAAACAACAGCAACACTCTCTGGCAAGAAATGTAATCTGTATCGGATCAGTAAATGCACCAATATGATGCAGATAGCTGTAGACAAAAAAAATAAGATATTGTTTTTAAAAAACACCCAATTTTGAATGATAAACACCAAGTTCCAGTCAGTGGTATCTCTGGGGGGTCCTCACAGAAATGGACAAGTGGAATAACACAGTGAACTTCAGCTGTGCTTTTCGTGTCTCATTTCTTAAACTGGAGGTACATTTACAATGTTTATTATATTTTCTCCATACTTCTTTGTCTGCCTGAACTAGTTTGTTTTCCAGTAGTTATTGGAAAAGGAACAGAAATCTACTTTTTTTGAGACAGAGTCTCACTGTGTCACCCAAGCTGGAGTGTAGCGGTATGATCTAGGCTCACTGCAGTCTCAACTTCCCGGGCCCAGGTGATTCTCCCATCTCAGCCTTCCAAGTAGCTGGGACTACAGGCACATGCCACCACACCCAGCTAATTTTTTTTGTATTTTTAGTAGAGACGGGGTTTCACCACGTTGCACAGGCTGGTCTCCAACTCTTGGGCTCAAGCAATCCATCCACCTTGGCCTCCCAAAGTGCTGGGATCACAGGTGTGAGCCACAGTGCCCAGCCAGAAATCTATTTTTTTACATAAGCTATTAAACCTTATATAATCATTTAAAATTATTCAAATTTTTCTGATTCTGAGAAATGGTCTTCAACTTTTTGGAAGTGATTATCAACTAGAACACTCTATGTGGTGAAGAGGAAGTCAATGAAATCAATCACTTTTACATAAATGTAACTACAACAGATTGCATTGACACAAATTATTTTGCCACCATGTGACTGGCTCTTAACATGGAGGGAAGTGAGGGTTTTACAAACAGGAAAAAGTAAACACTTTGGTTTGGTGACAAGAACATCAGAGATCTGAATATGGAATACTCCTGCTCCGCAGCTGGGTGCAGCTGTGTCCTGCCATTCTCGTTGGCTGAGGGCTTCTCATGAGCCATGAACTAGGCTGAACACCCCAACTACTCTCTCATTTAATCCTCCAGCTCCCCTCTGAACTAGCTGTCATTACCACTATCTTCTCTGATTACAGATCAGAAAACTGAGGCTTCAAGACATCACAGCACCTGTCACACCACTGGTAGGTGCTGCAGTATTGAGTCAGATTCCAAACCTGTGCTCTTAACCACAGTGTACCCCACCACCTCCCTCCTGGCTGGATGCCTTCACTCCTCAACCTCCAAAATACAATAATGTCTAACTTTCTTCACAGAGGTGTTGTCATGAAAGAAAATAAGAAGATGTAAAATAAAATGATTTGAAAGGGATATTTCTGCCCCCCACCCAAAAAAATAAGGTATTTCACAAAAATTATTCCTGAATGTAATTTCCTAATCCAAATGTTAGTATGCATGTCTCTTTCGTTTATTGGGCACCTAGATAGTATACCAGCTCATCAACCCCAGTATTTATTAACAGGACTAAAATTAATTTTGTTATTTTTTTCAAGGAACTGTTTAAACAATCCACATGGCTGTTAACTGGTCACACTCAGAGGCTGCACTGACAAATGAGGTTTCTTTAATCTCACCAAAAAGCACCAGGTGGCCAGAGTGTTGTAAATGTAGACATTTTGTCCTCTTTTCATTTTGCGCTTTAAACTATCAATCTGTGGTGTTATTTTTATATAAATATTTAACCTAGTTAGAAATCCTACATTAAATACTAAGGGCAAGAAAAAAGTTCCAGTGCATAAACATAACATGTGACTAATGAACATGCTCAATGTCTAGACAAAACAAAAAAAGGCAAATAAGCACATAAGTGGACAGAAAATAGACCAAGAGAGTTGAACCAGTTTCTGCTCTTCCTTTGTACCAAGCTAGATTTTTAAAAATTTAAGTTATTCTCATACACAGATCAAACAACTCTTTGCAGCTTTAAGAGCAAAGGGGGGAACTGTCTACTACAGAAAGAGGTAAATATAAGGTTCATCAATGCCAAGTAATAGCTTTCAGCCATTAAAAAGAACAAAGTCAGAAAAGACAATCCATAGAAGGGGAGAAAATATTTGCAAATCATGTATCTGATAAGGGTGTAGTATCCACAATATATAAAGAATTCTTAAACTCAACAGCCAAGAGACTCTGTTGCCCAGGCTGGAGTGCAGTGGTGTAATCTCGGCTCACCGCAACCTCCGCCTCCCAGGGTTCAAGTGATTCTCCTGCCTCAGCCTCCCAAGAAGGTGAGATTACAGGGGCACACCACCATGTCCTGCTAAAATTTTTTGTATTTTTAGTAGAGATGGGGTTTCACCATGTTGGCCAGGCTGGTCTCGAACTCCTGACCTTAGATGATCCACGCGCCTCGGCATCCCAAAGTGCTGGGATTACAGGCCAGGTGCGGGGCTCACGCCTGTAATCCCAGCACTTTGGGAGGCTGAGGCAGGCAGATCATGAGGTCAGCAGATCAAGATCATCCTGGCCAACACTGTGAAACTCCATCTCTACTAAAAATACAAAAAATTAGCTGGGCGTGGTGGTGGGCACCTGTAGTCCCAGCTACTTGGGAGGCTGAGGCAGGAGAATGGCGTGAATCTGGGAGGCGGAGCTTGCAGTGAGCCGAGATCTCGCCATGGCACTCCAGCCTGGGCAACAGCAAGACTCCATCTCAAAAAAAAAAACAAAAAAAACAAAAAAAAAATTTGACCTTGGGTCAAATTCAAAGCTATTTATTCCTTAGCTAATCAAAAGTGGTTGTGTAGTTTCAACTGGATTTTTTTGTTTGTTTTTTGAGATGGAGTTATAGGCACTCTGGGAGGCATTTAAGTTTTTGTCTTTTATCGAAACCTCTCGACAGCTATCTGGTAACCTGGTTATCAGTCTCTAGTCTTATACTAGCCCAGTATGACAATCACTTGACTTCTCTATGCTGAAATTTCCTCATACACTAAAAGAGAAGGTTGAACAAAATTAGTTTTTGTTTTTTTTTTTTTTCCTGTTTTAAGACAGCGCCTTACTCTGTCTCCCAGGCTGGAGTATAGTGGCACGATCTTGGCTCACTGCAGCCTCCGCCTCCCAGGTTCAAGCAATTCTCCTGCCTCAGCCTCCTGAGTAGCTGGGATTACAGGCACATACCACCATGCCCGGCTAATTTTTGTAATTTCAGTAGAGACAGAGTTTCACCATGTTGGCCAGGCTGGTCTCGAACTCCTGACCTCAAGTGATCCATCCGCCTCGGCCTCCCAAAGTGTTGGTATTACCAGCATGATACACCGCACCTGGCCCAAAATGAGGTTTTCAGAGAGTGAATGCATTTAAACAAAAATAGCACATAACTAAATTAACAATACAGGTGGTGCACAAATACGGCAAAAGTCATGACCATGGTTAATGAGAATGACAGAGGTTAAGGAAAACAGGGTGCTAGGGCAAGGATTTCTGCTCTTTCAATCAGCAGCAAAACCGTTAAATAAAATTCACATGGAAGTCTAACAAATATGAACACAAAATGCTGCTCTGATTGAAGCTAGGAGCAGAGGGTCAGATATTCTCCCATCTGACTCCTCCCACTTTCTGCCACCCTACCCCCTGCTCCTTCCTCTCCTGCACACGCGCATACTCCTTTGAGCAGAATCTGAAATTCATTAAACTAGATGTTCAAGATTCTTTTTTTTTTTTTGAGACAGAGTCTCGCTCTATCATTCAGGCTGGAGTGCAGTGGCGTGATCTTGGCTAACTGCAACCTCTGCCTCCCAGGTTCAAGTGATTCTTGTGCCTCAGCCCCCTGAGTAACTGCGATTACATGCATGTGCCACTACGCCCAACTAATTTTGTATTTTTAGTAGATACAGGGTTTCACCACATTGGCCAGGCTGGTCTTGATTTCCTAACCTCAAGTGATCCACCTGAGTCTCCCAAAGTGCTGAGATGTCAGGTGTGAGCCACCGCGCCGGGCCTCAAGATTCTTTCTAGGCCAAAATTTTTTAAATCCTTCTTTCAAAGGCTAAGATACTACATTAAGAGCTCTTCGGGAGGCCGGGCGCGGTGGCTCAAGCCTGTAATCCCAGCACTTTGGGAGGCCGAGACGGGCGGATCACAAGGTCAGGAGATCGAGACCATCCTGGCTAACACGGTGAAACCCCGTCTCTACTAAAAAAAAATACAAAAAACTAGCCGGGCGAGGTGGTGGGCGCCTGTAGTCCCAGCTACTCGGGAGGCTGAGGCAGGAGAATGGCGTAAACCTGGGAGGCAGAGCTTGTAGTGAGCTGAGATCCAGCCACTGCACTCCAGCCTGGGCGATAGAGCGAGACTCCATCTCAAAAAAAAAAAAAAAAAGAGCTCTTCGGAACTTGCTAAGCGCCATGATTTTATAAAGAAGAGAGTTCCCTGTTACGATGTTATAAACTGAACATGTTCCCTCAGTGTTTGATATGAAAACCAAATGGGAGGAAGACTTGACACAGTCAAGAGGAGTGACAGGGTTAAACACACAGACCAAGTACACAGACACTGGGGATGGCAGATGATGGGGATGACAGTGTCCATATTCACCTAGGACAAGGAGACTGAAGAAAATGGTCATGCCGCTGGACTGTTCCTCTTGCTGGGCCTGCTCCCCTGTCTGCACGGGGAGGATGGGCTTGCCAGGGGTCGGGAGCACCAGCTTCGTCGTGACAACCAGGGTAGTGTGGAGGGTGACATTGAAACCCTCATGAGTTGTATTGGGGAACCTCCTGGAGGACATAAAAAGCATAATTACATAATGGAAAAGAGTCCCAGAACATCAATTCACACACCTCACACCAGAAAGAGCAGCTGTCCAAGAATTTTATGGGATTCACAAGTCTTGTAACTAACAGACAGGTCTTGGAGAGAAACTTACTAAGAAAATCCCTGGCTGCACAGCACTACTAGTGGCCTCTGGTGCTTTTAAATGCAGCCACAGAGGACAGGAATGGTAGGGAATTAGAGCTAGTAGAGACATGAAATGCTGCCTGCTCTTTGGCAAATACTGGGGGATTAAAAGGGAGGTGAACTGGAGTCTCATCACTTTCCAAGGTCCAACATTGTTTACTTAGCACCTTTGCTTCTCCAATTTACATACTTTTCCTTGCATTATTTCTGCAAGTTGAAGAAGCCACCTGAATTTGCCCAGTGGTTGATCTGGGCATGCCCTACCCTACTTTACAAAATCTTTCTCAGATTTCAAAAGGCTCAAATGTCACCTCCTATTACCCCATCTTACCTCACCCAAATTTACCCACTCCACTGCTTATGTTCCCACAGCTCTTTCACACCGTGCTGGGATTGTGAACTAGTGCAATACTGTTATAGTAACTGTAATTGTGACTATAAAAGTTAATACTTTCTGAGCACTGCTTCATTTCAGGAACTAGGTAACACACTACCTCTCATTTAATAGGTATAACATGTCTGATTGGGTATGATTACTTTCCCTTTTTTACCCATGCATAACTAAGGCTCAGGGAGGTTGCAAAGCTTCACCAACATCTCAGTTAGTGGCAGAATCAAACTGAAAACCCAAACTTGAAATCGCTGGGCTATATTGCCTTTCATTTTGTGCTGCTGAGGCCCTGTTTAGTGTCTGGGATGGAGCAGTTGCTCAGTAAGTATCTGATTACATTAAATGACCCCCATATGGCCAAGAAATATATTTGAAAAGTTATCAGGTGAAGGAGTCCAGTATCAATGAAGGGGTTCCTTATTCATCTTCACGTACTCATTCCACAAACAGTGATAGGGCATCTACAATCTGCAACAGACTCTGCCCTGTAGGTATGGAGATGACTTTTGGACTTGCCCAAAAGTACCTGGAGGACACAGATCGTCCTTCCCTATCTCCCCTTGTTCAGCTAACCCCCCCTCCTCTCTACACACCAGCTATGCTGCCTGTCACTCAAAAGCACTAAACCCTTTCTTCAACCAGGCCTTTTGAACCTAATGTTACTTCTCCTACCCCTCCTTCTGGTCATTCAAGTTTCTGCTGAATGTCACTTTTTCCTGAGTGGACTCCCCAACCCTAACTCTATTCTGCTTCCTTAGGAACACTTAACCCATTCATGGCAGAGACTGCAATTTTTAGAATTGCAGACATGTGAGAAAAATCAGACCTTGGCAAGGACCTTGAGCAGTAGGATATAAATAACTCCCACATGCTTAGCGTTCCAATAACAGAACACTAGGCATAAATAGGGTTAATTAATCACGATCTGAAACCATCTTGACTAATTATGGTCTTCTTTTCCCACTAGAATGGAAGCTCCCAGAGAGCGGCTCCTGGTCGGCCTCCTTTCCTACTATGTGCCCAGGGCCTGGAATTGAGTAGATGGCTAACAGTTAATGACTGAACGAAACTTGGTGAAGGAGAAAGACATGAAAACTGATCGTTACAGAGGAGGAGACGACTGGCTACGTAGGACGTGGGTGTGGAGAACCCGGACGACTTCCTGGAGGAGGCGGAAGAGGGCTCAGTAACCATGAGATAACCGAAAACTGGGAAAGTAAATATGGGTTTGCATTTTCCGCAAGGCCGCTCTCAGGGCCGGCGCTGGGCGGCGGATTCCCAGCTCGAGGGACCGACCTCCAAGAGAACGCAAGGCCCACCTGGGCCCAGGCCCGCCCATCCCGCCCCCGTCGTAGGCACCAGCTTGGTCAGTCCTGGCCAACCAGCAAAAGAAGCTCCGCCTTCCGGAGCCTGAGGGCGGACTGAGGCGCTCGCTGTCACCCGCCGGGGCCCAGCCCCGCCGCCTCTGCCGCCCGGGAAAAAGCCCACTCACTCCTCTTCCGCCATCTTCTCCCCCATCCAGCGGAGCTTCCAGGACCACCGAGTTCGGAGCTGCGGGGCTAGCAGGACCCGCTTTTGCTTCCGGCTTCCGCTGGAGGCGCGGGCTGGCGAGCGGGAGGCGGGGCCTCGGCCGCGTGGGGGCGGCCCTCTGTGCCTCCGTCTCAGTGGCCTGAGGGTGGGAGAAAGCGCGTGGGAGGATTGTTTCTTAGTCCCTCCCCGGGCTTTCGGGAAGCTTGTCCGGCCTGGGCAACAGGACCACTTGGGCCCGAGAGATTCCGGCTTTTCCCCATCACAGGCCGGGGACGTTTTGAGGAAACTCCTGTGAGGTCACCGTGACTCACCCTGAGGGCAAGCAAGCACCCTCCGCCCAGTGCTCTCGACTTCGCTGTGCTAAAAGAGTTTGAAAAGGGATGCCCAGCCTGTAGCCTAAGCTGAGAGACCCCAGGGGGACACTTCCCCAACCCGAGCCTCAGTTTCCTTCGGCTGTGGAAAGAAAGAACCGCCTGGACTTGACAGGACAGTGCAGCATTCCATCTGTAAACATGGATTGAATTCAGACTATATGCCTAGCGTTAAAATGGATGCTGATGATCTAGGGGTGGACCATTCATTAAGCAGTTCATTGATTCAACACATGCTTAGTAGATGCCTTCTATGTGCCTAGCAGTGGCCGGTGGGGTGGGGATGCGGGGAGGGAACAAGGTGAGGTGGGAGGGGTAGGTGAGACCCCCATCGGGAGGACTGGGACCCTATCGTAAGGACTTTGGACTTTATTGACCGCTTCTGTTGCTACCTCCTTTCCTGATCCAAGCCACTCTATCTCATCTGGATAATTGCAACGCTCCATTCAGGGTCTCTGACTCACCCCTGTTCCTTATGGATTTCCACACAGCAGCTGGAGTGATCCCTTAACTTATCACTCCTCTGCTTAAACCCTCCAATGGCTTCCAATCTCCATCAGAGAAAAAAAACCTGGGGAATGTACAGGACTCAACCCTGCCCCCTTTTTCCCCTCTGAAGTGTGTGGGAGGGGGACATGGGGCTCTATATCTCCCCTCCCACACACTTTCACTTTCCACTATTGTCACAGACTCACCAGGAATACTTCCATCCTTGCACTTGCTGAGCCTTTATCTAGAATGCTCTTCTTCTGGGTGGCTCTTTGGCTCCCACCTCTCCTACGTTTGGCCTTTTATTTAACCCTTATCTTGTGTGTTAGACCTCCTTGACCACCCTACTTAAAATCCAAGGCCCCCCGCCTTCCCTAAACTGTTTTTCCACATGACACCTAACCCACCGTATGTTTTACTTATACACTTGTTTATTAACCATCTCCCTCCATGAGAACGGAAGCTTCATGAATGCAGAAATTTTTGTCTATTTTGTTCTCCATTTTATCTTTAATGCCTACAACAGTATCTGGCACATAATAGACACTCAATAATAAATAATCATTGAGTACATAAATCAGTTAATTCTAGGTGTGTTAGGAAGTCACAGAAGGGTTTTGAACTGAGAAGTAACATGAGCTTTACTGCCTGGGAGCTGACTGGGTGTTGGCGAGAGAGAGAGGATGGAAGCCCCAAAGCCAGCGAGGAGGCTTTTGCAGTAATCTAGGTGACAGCTGATGGCAGTTTGGATGAAAGTAATACCGAGGAGGTGGCAGGAATGGTTGGACTCCTGGATGCATAACTGAAGATAGGGTTTGCTGATGGACTACGGTGTCTGAAAGAGGATTTAAGCATGGTGTGAGGGTTTTGGCCCCGAGGAACTGGGTAGAGAAGAAATCTGGCTCTAACCTTGAGTTCTCCATCCTCTACGGTCTCTTGAGATTGCTAAAGCTAACTGAGAGAATGTCATCAGGATCCACCAATGTTTGAGTAATAATAAACTTGCTTCCTTCCTGCGGGTGTGGTGTTGGGCTATTGTTTCCTTAATTCTTTACCTAGCTTTGAGGTAGATACCATCATTATCCACAGACATAGAGAAATCAAGACGCTTGCCTGCATTCCCACAGCTAGCAAATGACAAGGCTAGGATTCAGGCACAGAGCCTGTGTTTTTAACCAGTAGCCCTGCTGCTCTCCACTGCCTTAATTTCTCTGGCTCTTAAATGGGGCTAATAACCTACCCTCCTCTGTTAGCACAGAGCCTGGCGGGAATGACCTGGTCTACAAAGGATTGAGAGTGGGGTTCTCTCTGGCCACACTTGTCAACTGAGGACTTGAGGCTACTGTTTTCTACCAGCACCAATAAACCCCACATGACTGGAATTCACCAAGCTGGAAACCCCACATAGCTGGAATTCACTGCTCTTCTCTAGCCTATGTCTCGCCTACTGCCCTTGCCACAGATTCTGCTGTCAAGGCCAGATGAGGGCTTTGTGATGGTCATGGAGTTCCTGACCTTGGCCTCTTCTGGGCCTACCACTAACCATGAGGCTGCAGAGAACATGCTTTCGTGCCCATGGGTGAGTCCTTGGCTCTTCTCACCTATTCCTGAGAATGAATCTAAAATCCCTGGTCCTTCCCCGAGGAAGATAAATAAAGCCATTCAATATGCAGTTTCTGGGCTCCTGTGCTATGTCAGGCCGAGAAGGGGCCAGCATATGGCACCACAAATTCTGGTGCCAGACAGAGCTAGTTCCCAACCCCTCCTCAGGACCTACAGTCTCCGTGACCCTGAGAGACTACAGCACCCTCAGAGCCTCAGGGCCCCCTCATTTTTTTTTTCCTTAATAACACTTTTCTTTAGAAGACTGTTACAAGATTAGAGAGAAAACTGCCTTTGCTGTCTTTTCTCTCTGCCTAGACAGCTCTGCCCGCTACCTCCAGTCTTCTCGTCATTCAGGTCTCAGCTTAAATGTCCCCCTCCTCAGGGAAGCCCTCCCTGACCAGTTTCTGTAAAGAGTTGGACAGTAAATATTGAAGTCTTTGTGGGCCGTACGATCGCTGTAGCAACAAATCGACTCTAGTTTGCGTGCAGCATAAATAATACAAATATAAATAGGCGTAGCTGTGTTCCAACAAAACTTTATGGATACTGAAATTTGAATTTTGCATTACTTTCACATGTCATGAAATACCATTCTTCTTCGGATTTTTTTTTTTTTTTTTTTTGAGACAGAGTCTCTGTCGCCCAGGCTGGAGTGCAATGGCGCGATCTCAGCTCATTACAACCTCCACCTCCCAGTTCAAGCAATTCTCCTGCCTCAGCCTCCCAAGTAGCTGAGACTACAGGCATGTGCCACCACACCCAGCTAATTTTTGTATTTTTAATAGAGACGGGGTTTTGTCACATTGGCCAGGCTGGTCTCAAACTCCTGACCTCAAGTGATTCACCTGCCTCAGCCTCCCAAAGTGCTGGGATAACAGGCATGAGCCACTGCGCCTGGACAATAATTTGATCCTTAATGCTTTTATTAAACAGGGAATCAAATTGGTTACTAGGTGTATCAGTCAGGGTTCAATCAGAGAAGCAGAACCAAAAGGGGATATATTTTAAGAGCTTTATGGCAAAGAATTGACTTAAGACAACACAAACTATTAGCTTATAGTTCTGTAAGTTAGAAGATAAAGATTTTCACTGGCCTAAAATCAAGGTGTTGGCAGGGTCACATTCATTCTGGAGGCCCTAGGGGAGAATAAACTTTCTTGCCTTTTCTAGCTCCTAGAGGCTGCTTGCATCCCATGGCTCATAGCCCACTCCTTATCTTTAAAGCCAAGGGCTGCATCACCCCATGCTCTACTTCTGATTCTGACTCTCGTCTTCCTCTTCCTCTTCCCCGCCACCCCACTGCCTTTTTTTTTTTTTTGAGACGGAGTCTCGCTCTGTCGCCCAGGCTGGAGTGCAGTGGCATGATCTTGGCTCACTACAACCTCCGCCTCTGGGATTCAAGCGATTCCTGCCTCAGCCTCCCAAGTGGCTGGGGTTACAGGCGCCCGCCACCACACCAGCTAATTTTTGTAGTTTTAGTAGAGATGGGGTTTCACCATGTTGGCCAGGCTGGTCTTGAACTCCTCATCTCAGGTGATCCACCTGCCTTGGCCTCCCAAAGTGCTTGGATGACAGGCGTGAGCCACTGCGCCCAGGCCCTCTTTCCCTTATTAGGACCCTTCTGACTACATTGGACCCACCTACATAATCAGAATAATCTCCCCATCTCAAAGTCAGCTGATTAGTACCCTAATTCCATCTGCAACCTTAATTCGTCCTTGCCCTGTAACATATTCACAGGGGCCAGCAATTAGCACATGGCCATCTTTGGAGGGCCATTATCCTACCCACCACACCATAGGAAAAATAAGATCTGTTGGACTTCTCTTCAGGTTTTTTGTTTTTTGTTTTTTGTTTTTGAGACAGAGTTTCACTCTTGTTGCCCAGGCTGGAGTGCAATGGCACAATCTCGGCTCACTGCAACCTCCACCTTCTGGGTTCAAGAGATTCTCCTGCCTCAGCCTCCCGAGTAGCTGAGATTACAGGCATGTGCCACCACATCCGGCTAATTTTGTATTTTTAATAGAGATGGGGTTTCTCTGTGTTGGTCAGGCTGGTCTCGAACTCCCGACCTCAGGTGATCTGCTCGCCTTGGCCTCCCATAGTGCTGGGACTACAGGCGTGAGCCACCACGCCCAGCCCTCTTCATGTATTTCTGTTATCTATTATCATTTCATGTTGATTTATATATGGGAAAGAGTGGGGCATAATTTCTTTAATACCTTTGGATGTTAACATTTTAATCTGGCCCTGACCACTTAGCATGTAACAGGCACTAGAATTACTAAGCAAAAATAGAAAATCTGGGCTTGTAGAATTCAGTGGAGTCAGGTGTAATTCTCTGAGAAAGTTTGTGAAAAAATGCAGATTCCAGGTCGTGCATAGTGACTCACAGCTGTAAACCCAGCACTTTGGGAGGCCGAGGTGGGTGGATCACCTGAGGTCAGGAGTTCAAAACCTCCTTCACCCTCACCTGCTTTGTGTCCTCCCCACTGTCCCCACCCTAAGACCTGGTGACCGATAGAAACACTTGCTTCCTTGGCTTACTTTTTTTCTTTCTCCCTTTAAAAAAAAAATCATAGTTTTGACTGGACGTGGTGGCACACACCTGTAATCCCAACCACTTGGGGGGCTGAGGCAGAAGGATCACTTGAACCTGGGAGGTGGAGGTTGCATTAAGCCTAGATC